TCAGTACCTTTACAGCTCACCTGGTAGAACGTAATATTTAGCTGGACATTGGTACTCATCTATGTATGAGTTCCAATTCTACGGAGTTTATTGATCGTTTCATCAGTGGATTACCAAAGGTTGCAATTTTGGGTATCTATCTCAAAAGTCTCAGGGAACACAGATTGAACAACGTATGAAATACCACCAGGTGTGATTAAATTCAACGCTTGTGGATTATCCTTTGATGATTTCCGACAGCTAATCAAATTTGCAGTCAGGGGTGACCATCAAGCTGTTACGTTCATTCTTTGGATCAAAACCAAATGCTTCCAAGGATATCTACTCAGACCTGAGATTTCTGGAATAAATAAAACTTGTTATTTCTCCGTATGACGATCTGGTTCGAGGTAAAACCACAGAAAGCATTGTTTCTTTGGCCAAGCACTTTCAAAGTGAAATTAATTGCTATTGGAACCAAAGTGCCTCCTTACGCTGCTGGCCATTTCATGCGGTTTTATTTCCTCTGACCACTTTGTCAACCAGATACAAACCGATTTCGATAACCATATTGAGAATAACTGGCAATTAAAATGCCATAATGAATTATGCTTTCAAGGCAGCACATAAAAATAATCAACACAATCCTGTAATATTCCGAGTAATCTATGCAGTTGCAAAGAAAAAACGTGTCCCAGATACTTACACAAATATGAGGACTAGAAACAGACAAGAGGACTGGCGAAATGTATTGCAGCATATCTGCGCCGCAGCACGCTAGCACGCTTGCCGAAAAAACTACATTTTCAAGGAATGACCTTTGCCTAACCAAAGTACAGAACATATGTGCTGTCCTTACCTCTAACGCACGGTGTAGATGCCGATGAGCTCGCTCCATTTCATCTGGCGAGTTGGCTGATTTGACTTGGTGCATCAGATGGACCAAGTGTGCCTGAATAGCAGGTCGCGAATCCTTCGTCTGTGCGTGTGACGAAACGTTATTTTGGACAAATGGATGCGGAGGTGGGAGTGAGCAAGATGTGATCAAAGGGAAATAGAGTACCGTTTTAGAAAATACTGTTTAAATAAATGAAAGTAAGTAAGAGTTACCCCACAGAGAGTCTTATTGTGACCAACTAACTGCAATATTATTACTGATACCTACTCTCGAAGCATAAGATTAAATCCAGTTGACGGATTTATGCTTACACAGTACACAAGAAAACGAGGTTTAAAACTCTCGGACACGTCCATAATTTGATTTGTTTCAGCTAGGAGTGAAACCCCTGCACTGGTGATTGATTGAATCGTTCCGGTGTTTAGCCACGCAGGATGGTGTTCACGAATCCGTTCGGACAATTGCCTGACCGTGCGGTCTATGTACGTCGTTCCACAGGAACAAGTAAATAAGAACGCACAGAATGAGACCGTAGAGTCTGGAACTTTGTCCTGCAGTTACCGAAACATAATTGGCTTGGACGTGAACAACACACGAAGCTTGGATGCAAAGCAAGTCATCTCGAATGCATCGGATAATCTTCTTTGCATGGTCTCAGCCGATGTGTCTCCTTTGGACGGATTTTTTCTTAACCTCGGTGTTTTGTAAAGAGTTTTCCGTGCACTGAATCATCTTGTTGTCTAAACACTCTGGATACCCGTTACGTGCAAAGACTCTATTTAACTCTATCCAATCAACTTTTTTCTTAGTAGTTATTCAATATGGCTCTGCTGCTTTACTATCTGTTGACTTTTAACCATCATCACTTTATACTACCACGACAATTATCTCCAAACGTCATTTGATAGTTTATTTTCAAAATGAACTGCTGTTAGTTGTCACTTTATTGTGTTCTATTTTATTTGGTATTAAACTTTCCATGTAAGGGTCACCAAAATGAACTAGACAGTAGTTTGATCTTTGACTGTATTTTTCAACATTTCGTCAACCATTTCCACGACCCTCCCAGGGCTCCTTCCAGTGGGAAGTGAAACCACTAACCTCTGAGTTACATAGTCGATTGTCAATCAGTGGAACCCATGACTACATTTATGGATCATACTGCAATTTCTTGTTTACTTTGAGCGATTGGACATGCTTCACTGTCTAATTGTTGATTGCACGACCAGCCGTAATATGTGCGAAGGCACCGAGATGAAATAAAATCCGTATGTCTATTTCCATGGTGGGATTCCGTTGACATAATAAAATCGGTCATATTTTCATGTGATAAAGTTTATCATGGTTTGCGGTTAGTGATGGTGGGATTTCAAGCAGCGCGGAAACGGCATGTATCACATCAAAACACGTGTAAAATAATGCCAAAAGCGCTCTATATAACCTCAAATTGTTAACCCGATGCTTCTGGTCATAAAATGTATACATCACGCGATATAAATTTATCGCGATGTTTTGTTCAGTTACACCACACATTATTGCTTCTACAATCAGCAATTGGAGAGGATCATTTGCTGACGCAGAGCTGACGGTAAATGATAGATATTTCCTAGTGCCAGACACCGACTGCGAAATACACACACCAGAATCCTAGGGAGGATTTTGAAACGCATACTGGAAAGAATATCCAGAAGTGAACAGTGAGCAATAATTTAAGTAGGTGCCGAGATTCGTAGTTAGATATTTACAATGTTAGATACATTTGAATTAATTCTCTTTTGACTCGACCGTCCTACTTGGAGACTAACCAAGGAGATTGCAGTCTTTTTATGAGTATTAGCTTACAGTTAAGAGACTATCTAAGAGAACATTCCACAATGTTTCCACTCCTCTGTTATTTTCAACCGCTTACATTTTAAGCAGCAGCAGTGAAGTCCCGGTCATTTTATTCATTTTTACGGGCGAATGGAAGTTGTACAATGACGATCAAACCCCAAAATTTGATAAAAATATTACTGAAGTAGTAATTTTATTTTTGTGAAGCTTGTTTATTTGAAAACAATACATGGCTTGCAGAACTTACTGCAACACTCTGTTCATTATCCGGAAGCGAACGCTTTCCTCCAGCTTGGAACGAAGCAACAGGCATATTGGATAATTTCTGAAAATCCATGAGATGAATCAAGCAACCATTTAATACAGATAATTGAGTTGCGTTATATACTTGTTTATACAGAAAATGTATGAAGCAGTAACCAGTTGTTTGGGAAACTTTTATTTGGTTCCATGCTAGATTGACCTCCGCCCAAGCGGACATAGAACAACGGAAAGTATTGGAGCAGAACTTCAGACATTTCAGACATTATCAATAAACAGGTAACGATTATTAATAAACAAGTTACCAATAGTTTGATTAAAAGGCATCTTACGACGTGCCGTACTTTCTCACCTATTGTTGTTTTCCCTTGACAAGTTTTGATTGCAGTATGGTGATCCTATCCATCTTTATACTAATGACACTGTCCTAAGGTGTCCGGCCTAAAATTCAACTTGGCGTTAATTCTGCAGCGCAGTAACTCAATATCGGTCATCTGTGTGTTTAGTTCAATTTAGACCTTAGTTTTACGGCCCTTTAGGTCACCAAAATTACGGTTGTTTTGAGTGTTCATTATCCCACAAGCGTAAACTCTGTGCGCGAACAGCAATTCAATTCTTTTCACAACGTTTTCAACGTATTCAATTGAAGCTGTTGTAGTCATGTTCGGAATAGACCCATGATTCAGAACTTTTGTATTGCTTTTCGGATGAAATCATTCGTCTTGTTTCTGAATCCTTTCCAAAACTCACAAATGGATCTGATTTCTTCATCCTTTTCAGGCTCTGAAAAGAGCTTCTCTAAATCAGCTTTAAAATCTGCTTTTTCTGAAAACAAAACCTCTCCCTTTTTTAAGTGTTTTATCTTCATGCGCATAAGAAACAACTTTTCCCCATAGGGAGTTACGGACAATTTAGGCAACCGAAGTACAATGGAAGCAAAACTTACTTTATCACCGTATTCCATGACGTGGCTACTTGGTACATGACGCTTCACGAACTGAAATTGATCGTCCAAGGTCCAATAGTTCAAATCGTGCTAAATGCAAAATTTACGAAAATTGAAAATATTGTAAACGTATTTTACAAGAGAGCGAGAAATGAATACATGAGATCCCTTTAAAATGACACGAAATATGCATACATTTATTCCTTCTTATTGTCATATTGCACATTTTCGAAGTTGCAAAGCAGATGGGTTGTGAACAGACAAAATCACCTCCGCCTTATCCATCGAATTATATGACTTTTTAAATTTTTCAGTTACATACCTAAGTGTGATGAACAGCAGACGGGTTAAACCGCATAGTCACGAGGACCTGCTGTTCAATGCTATAAACCGGCAACCTAAGCCCCAGGAATTGGAGTGGAGAACCACGTAAGGTCCCGATATGTTAGACGTGGTATTGAACCGGACGACAGCAGAGCTGCTTACCATGAAAGATGGAAGGACGTTAACGGTCTTCTGGGTTGAGAGTGCTGATTGGCTTTCTATAGATTGATCAACTATTGATCGGCTGTTGACATAACCTGTCAACATTATCAATTGATCCGGGAACGGAAAAAGTAGTGACTATTGGTTTTTTTTCCATGTGATCTGTCCTTCTTTCGTGAGAAAATTATCTGATGATATTTTCTGGTGAAGATTTTGCATCGAAACAAGGTCACTTAGGAACGCGAAGAGCCCATCGCTGAACGAAACCTCTTTCCATTAGACCACGGATTTCGCCTTCGAAGGAATCGGTGCTTGCAGACTGTCTTCAAAATGTGACATCTCAGGCGAAGCTGGCAGTATAAATATCCTCAACAAATCCAATCCACCGGTGCACCATTCGCCAAAATACTTGTGCAATTCGTGAAACAGAACGATATAGTTGCTCATCAATAATGAATTCTATCTCACCAGCCATAAGAATATCTGTTGCAGCCCTCATGTACAGTCAAGAGCAGGACGCCAGCCGCCGAAGAAACAATGCTGTCAGTTCACCATAGATTTTCGTGCATCACATCACAATACAAGCCTATCATGTCTCCCCTCAAAAATATGTGGAATTTACAGTCAGCGGAAACGTGTATTGATAACCTTTTTTTCTTGAGGTTATACTCGTGCCCGGGCGATTCACATTTAACCAATTATGACTGTTGCGACTAGGCATGTTGTTTGCAGGCATGGGTGTGCATAAAACAAAATGGTGCCATATAAATCTAGCAAACTAACAGATTAGAATTAAATATCTAAAATTCCTTCGTAGTTTGTCCCAAATGGAACTCGGATGAATTTAATTGTTTGATGCCCAGAAAACCCATTTAAATAGCTATCCCAATGGCCTGTAAGTTATGGAACGTATTAGACGGTTCCACAAAAATGTGATCTTACTTCAATAAGCCCCAAAACACACCAACTTTTCTCATTGAAATGAACAGTCTAAATTGTGAAAAGCGCCGTGTTTTACAACCTCCCAATGGGTTTTAACGATCAGTTAGCTTACCGTTTCAGAGTCTGACATCCAAGTGTAAGAGTACTCGTCGGCCAAGCAAGTGTGTATTTTCGGGTCGTTACAAAAGCTGGCCCAGCTGGATTCGTGGGCGTTTGCCGCGGTTGTGACAAATACTGAAAGAAAGATAAGGGTGTGCACGAATAACGCCATCATTAGCTGTTCGCCAAATGACAGTTCTATCCAGGTAATGTTTAAAGCTAACTCAGAATGGAAAAGAGACACTAGCAGTTGAGTATAGCTCTTCGTAAAATTGGTACTTGCTTAAGTTTGTTGAATGGAGAGGAATGGAGATTTATCAAAGTAGGATGATGGCTTTACCAAAGTTACCTTATGGCATAAAGGCAGATTTTCACCACACCTATACTAAGTTGAGATCGAAACGGTTTTAGAAATGAAGTGCTCCAATTCACCACGGCTTGCTCTACTGAGCAGATCACTTCCTGAAACAAACTCGAGTTTGAGGAAATGCTACCAATTTGTGAAATTCATGAAACCAATTATAAGAGGCCCATCGAAAAAAACACTCAATCAAAAAATTACCTTGGTGATTATTTGGTTAATCTACATATTGTTCAACTGAGTTTGTCACAACATTGTTTTGATTTACCCAATCAGCAAAGTACCTCTTACAGTGCAAAAATAAGTGAGTAACCATGACAACTGAGACCAAATGTTTGGGCGACCTGTTCAGTATGGGGACTATCGAGCTCCGTGGCATGATACATGTGAAGAACTTAGGCCATGCCGAGTAAGAATGTGAAGGTCCGTGAGATAAGTACAACCGGACAAAAATGTAATAGCATAGCTACTTATGCAAGTGGTATATGAATCAAGCAAATGAACTGACATAAGAAAGGGTCCTAGGTTCGATAATAAGGGCTTCATGTATCAGCCGGGTTTTGGTATTTGCTGATTCAGGGACTTATCGCTCTACTGATCAAGACACTGTTCACGCAGCTGCTTGTCAATCTTAATGAATATTGCGGCCAAATAAATAGAAAAAAGTGTTTTGTTTTGTTTATCATTTGTGAATGATTTGTACTCTCATGCACCCCTTATTACATTATTCACAATACCCATACACACGCATACAAACACAGACTTGATGTATTTTTCTCTGTTTCCTTGACTTACATGACTTTGTGACCTATAAAAGAATGGTGTATTTGGGTAATAAATGATGTACGAATCCAAGCTTATTTACCAAATTGACTTCTTGATTTGTGAAAAATTCAACGTTGTAAGTATAAGATTTTCTTTTGGAGATATTTGAAGTAGATGTGCAAATCATGCGGTGGATAGACTACCGTTATTACTACCTATGTATAAACGATTCGCCTTACCTTTTCCTTACCGCTCTATGTACGTGAAATCAGCTAAAGTCGCTTTATTATTCTTCATACACTCATGCATCAGGTTCTCAGTTTAGAAATGTTTCCAAATAAGTCATAACCCTGGCGGCTAGTGCTTTTTGGGCGAGCGATCGGTTATGCTATAACGCCTATAAGACAAATGCAAAGTTACTGACTAAGGCCTCAGTGAATGAGTGAGCAGCATTCTTGTGTGCTTTCAATTTTTTCAGATATTTGCTATGGATTAACCACCATTCAAACTTCGTCTTGGGTTTTACTTATGCTCAGATTGGACGTTCACTCCGACCTCTAGACTTAGACTCTTCCGTGGTAGGATGAAATAAAGTAACTGAATGTCATGGAAGACACCATCTGCACAATTTGCAATCAGTAATTTAAGTCAGTCGTCAGTGGCATCTAATTGAAACGGTGATGACACGCACGCTAGCGCAACAGAGGTAGTAGACAGGGCAAATCCCATTCCGAACGGTGGGCACATGCACTGCTAATACGCGGCGAAGCCACATTCTACTGCCTCCCAGCTTCATTGTAGGTTAGATAAACTGAGCAGCTTGAGTGCAGTTGATGCCCGGAGAATTTTACATCAAAGTCAATCACATCCCACATCACACCTTACTAATTATTGGAAAAGAAAACATTAATAACATAATTTCTAAGAGGAATTTCGTCAAATGAAGCGTAAACTGAAGAGCTAGGAAGCACACTGTACGGCTGGTTGGGTTTTATTAGCAGTGACAATCCACCGATGCGGCTGTGCATAGAACCCGGAACTATAAGGGTAGACAACAGGAATGCTACTAAGTGGGTCATCCGTCAGCTGATCAAACCGTTTTTCGCATTTATCTCACAATTACTTTTGAGTAGTGATGCGGAATAACTTTCTATTTACACAATAAAGCGCAACCCAACTTNGCCCCCCCCCCCCCGACTCATCTAAGCACTAGTCTACGGAGTTATAACTCGGTTGGAAACTCTCACAACCTGACTACTTGTTAACAATAATTGTCAGAACATAGAGAACATAAGTGACAAAAATTAACATTACGCTTTTTGTTTTAATCCATAAAATCCAATTTTTAGCTCATAAGGTTGTGACGTTCACTTTGGCCCAATATTGATTGTCTGATGGAGTAAAATAAATGTGGCATGTGCTCGGAGTATTTCAACTGAAGATATACAGAACACGTATCACTCAGACAACCTAAGCTACTCATTCAACACCCAAATCAGCTCGAAAATAAACAAGTGTTGGTGTGTTGAGAACACTGTGACGGTGAGGGGAACGAAACCAGCATTTCAAACATAGAACTGATAATGACGATTTTAATATCAGCTAAGAATTGTAATCCACAGTCATTCGCCAGATGACCTGCATTTACCCGTTACAAAAGTTATGCATAATCCAATGATCTATTCCAATATTCAAGCATGTTCACTTTCCCATTTAATGTAATCATAACTGGCATTCAGAAACACGCATGACCTGATTGCATTCAAAACCATGTTCATTGTGATCAGCGATGATGCAGAGTGGTGGAAAAAAATGTAAATTATTTAACAAGATGTTCGTGAATTCCGGACTCACAAGGTAGCATTGTTTTCAATAACCTTATTCGTGATCTCAGTTTCACTACTGAAGACGCTATCGCCAGTTAGAATAGAAGATCGTTATTGTTACTCCTAAGGACTCATGAGTCCAGTTATGGGTACGAACTCCTAGGCTGAAATTATCTCTCCGTTCGTTGAAATAGAATGAATTGTTCTCACATTATCTTAACCACTGTGATATCTCGTAATTCCGGAGGTCTGAGCATCAGATTGCATTAGGACCTCGTTATTTAGTCACCATGAGGGATTGTTCATTCTGTTTGGTGTTAATGTTGGAAAGAAGCCGTAAATTGAAGTGAATGTTTTTGATAAAACAGGGCACCAACTCACTGCTCATGTTCGTGGGGAGAAGATTTTCAAACATTGATCCAGAGTAGCATGCTTCGATATACAGGACCATATTCTTGTAACGATTTTGTTCATACATTTTCTTCAACGTTTCTTGAAGTTCTCTGGCATGGAGCTGAAAATAGTGTTACACAAGTAACTTTTAGTATACATGCAAGATATTGTGAACTGAGTAGCTGACTTCATCAATTCATTAGAGAAGACTTACAATTGCTAAACTCCCTAATAACACAATATATACCGGTTTGAGTTTCCATTTTTATACATTTTATAATCTTTTGCTGTATCTCGACGATTCTGGTCACTGTCAAATTGTCTACGATTTTTTAAGCGTTTATACTATTCACATAACAACTATATAACTGAATGTGTCTCAGCATTAAACAGGTTGATCACATGGTCCTAATGAATGAAACGTAAAACAATCGAATCATCCTAGTGCAGTAGTCACATGTTTGCTTACTCTCTGGTCATATATTATTTAACCACTCTCGGTCCCCTTCAGCACATCCTCCGTCGTGATGTATTGCTCCTCGAGAAAGCCTATCCGTCAAAATAAATAGAATTCGCTTACTGCATTCATTGCGTTACCACGAGCATCTTAATCAACCGGTTCAATTCAAGCACTACTTGTCTGGCTGTCTTATCATACCCATTTCATCGAAAACAACTGGTAATTACCAAGACCCAACTGCGGAGCGGCAACCACAAAGTCCGCATGGACAAGATTATTACAAGTTGCATCCTCAGGTCCGTTTTAGAGATGTCACGCAAGTTAGTTGCATTATGGCACATCGTCAATCTGACTAAGGTGGCAGCTTTGCCTGAATACATTTATTTTGGCCTCAGGATTGCGCTCTTTGATGTCATCAGTTCATTGTTTGGTTGTGGTCGAGTTCTGTTTTGTTTTGGCCATTTGTGGAATAGAATGGTGTAGAATTTTGGATGGTGGTTTGGAGACTGATGTCCAACAACCGGCGATAACGACCATTCATTAGTCTCCCTTATAGGAAAAACACTAGCGGGACAACTGCAGCATGCTTTTGACTGATGAAATGTGGCAACGGAGTCAAAATTGTTTCGAGTTAATGGATGGAGATTGATCTCTCTGTATTTGTGCGAATTCTTCATATAGTATTTACCCGATAGGGGAGATGCAACCATCGATGCAGCAAAATGAGTCGGCTTTTTCTATTACCTCTAGTAAAAGTGAAATACGAGGAGCTTTTTGTTTGTCCTTAACCGATTTACCTCCCGTTATGTGACTAAGAATGGTTTGCTTAAACTACGTGATTCGATAATCAAAACGCACATTCATGATTACCTAAACAAAAATTGAATTTGAATGTTTACGCTTCCCTGACATGTATTTCAGTTACTCTTTGTACGATGAAGACTCCCCCAGTGGTACCGTAAGATACTGGGTAAAATGACATTGAGTTTTCAGTCTCAATCGTTTCAATGTGTCATTGGATCACTGTACCAAGCAGCATGAGCACGTATGTCTTCCTTTCCTTCTAATTTTCAGCTTAACCTCTCAGTAGAGAACTTCCTTCCATGTGACGGTAATACTTCAGGCCGAGATTTGGTTCACATTCTGTTGTCTCTGACATTCACTCCAAGCGGGCATTCTGCTGTACAATCAAGTCTCAGCAAATCATAGTATCCTAGGGTTCTTTTAACGTTATTACGGAGTTTACAATTATTTCAAACTTTACAAGTCTAGCGTCTTCTTTCAAACTGAAAGAATAGTATATTTATGCGAATAGCACAGATTATGTAACAATTGTTTCGTTATATCCTGGGTTCACTTGAAAGTTCCATGTTTTGGCCGAGTAGGTAAACCGGGTTTATGGAACAATCCAAGAACGGATTTGGTCCCATGGTCCTACTGGCATCCTTATTTCGACTGGGTAATTACCATTATGGTGCGATAGAACTTCCTAGTACATCTTAATTACACCTGTAGGATGGTCATGACATTATTGACGAGCCAGATTTGCACAAGTTGCACAACCTTTTAGATGCTTTTTATCGCACAGATATTTTTTGCTAGAAACAACCCACCGCCTTTTGGAGCTCGTCAATGATTGTCCGTGATTGTTTGTGAAGTGAAGCAACGCTCACCTATTCACGTGTAAGACACCAATGAGCCTCCATTATCTTTATATCCGGTAGTGCAATTCTACACAATTACTAAGCTGTAAATAAGGACCCCGAATGCCCATTAATGAAATTCTTCACCCGATCCGTCCCCTCCCTCCCCTAAAAAAATACAAAGAAGGCACACTGCATGAGAGAACAGGTGACCGATCGATAGCCAGCGTTTTGATCTCTGACCACTTTTGCTATTCCTGAATCAATATTTCCACTGGTGATCATAGGAAATTTATCATAAATGCCAAAAGAGTTATTTTTTACAAATATAACGGTTTACCTTGTGTCGCGCTAACGGAAAAATTTTCACGTCCTTCTTTTGCGTAATTAACAAACCGAATTATCCGTAACAGTCAAGGAATTGAAGAGTCAAGCAACATGTAAACAACGTTTTAAAACATGTACAAATGTTATCTAAAAGTTTCTCACCTCTGCGTAGGGAAATGCAAGCAGATTTTGAGCCCCGTGATCGGTGAAAAAGATGAACACATTGTCTTCTGGTCCACTGAAATCAAAGGAAAACAAAATTGCTTCAAGATTACAATGTGCTATTTCATCGGAAAATGCACCAGTGATGCACTTTATTTGTAAACGTCTGCAAGTAAACTATATCTGATAAAAAACGTTAAATATTTTCAACCTCTTACTCTCGTTATTGATCAGATGGGACTGGTAACCTATACACGATGAGTTCTGATCCTACACATCGGTGAACAAACAACCAGCAGAAAAAATTTGATCAGTCAAACAGATCTCGCACGATAGAACGAATTAGGGAGCGTGAGATTTCAGTGGCGTTGTTTCATATTGTGAAGTCAGAGTTGCTGACAAGCCTAGACGCTTAATCACAATTGCCACAATATGGATTCAGTTATGTTTCCGATAAACTACACATGGACACATCCGAGGAATGTGAGTTGTCACAACTCAGTGAAAGTTACCATTACTGCAATTTAAACACCTTCGAAGTCCACCGACAAAGGTCAATGTGTTTGATGCGCATCTCACAGACCACTGAAACATGACGCTCACATTTGTGAAGTCGCTAACAGTTGCATAATTATTTTTAGAGTATCCTATTTGGATTAGCCCACTCGGTATGTCACAAGGACCACGCCCTGGTAATGATCTTTGGCGTGGGTTGTACTCCTTGGGAGATCGACAATTTCCCATCAGTTAACTGCATTTACATGCGATGGAAATATATTTGATAACTGACAAAGGGCAACGGACAAGAGTTCCGTCCTGATAGGAGGAATTAACAGCAATGCATGCTTTCCGTATCTTTGCCGGAACTCGACCATCAACAGTACCCGGTGCCTCAGAAATGATGAATGTATTTACCCGGGTTGAATGGGAATTCACTAGCATGTTTTTTGATCAATAAGGTTTTTGAAGCATTTGATGTTTATGTTCTGCCCGTTTGTCTAGATGTTGGTGATCCTGGGTTGATAACAGTTATGCTGAGTTGCGTATAAAGTTGACTGCGGTGCAAATATTTGTTCCATCAATCAATGAATATGTTAAAAACTTCCGATTTTCCAAAACCTACACCAAGTTCCTGAGACGGAGCCTGATTTCTATTACCAACAAAACCCTACAATGTCATGCTAAAAATGAAAATGCAACATCACACGACTGCTAGAGGACCTGATTTGGAAATTAGTCAAAAGCGCTCATGTGCTTGAGGTGCCATCGCCCGAAAAATCCCAACATCTAAAAACTGTTGTTCAATCGATTGAAGACAAACGGCTGGAACAAAAATGTTAGATGCTTTATAAACTGATTGATCCAACAAAACATGCTAGTGAGTTCATAATTAACCCTGAGAGATTGGATAAGAAGTTGCTTTAATTGTTTTCGCTAGGACCAAAATATGCTGTCCTCATAAACAAACTAGACTACAGAATCATGACGCAGAATTAGAGAATCTGCGTTCCAAAATATCAAGGCTGGTTCTGCGTTCATCAACAGATGTGGAAGGCCTGAAATCTACAATATTCAGCACGTGTTATGAGCTTTTGAGAGTAAACCACTGGGTAAAGAGCTAAGGACCGCACAACATTGGCAACGGTTGATTGGAATAAAAGAAAATCGAGATGTAATTATTTTCACACAGGATCAGTGTGCTGGATTACTCCTCTTAAAGAGATCCGATTAAATCAGCAGGATCAGCAGCAAAGTCACGGACAACACGAAATTTCAGAAAATATATAGGTAGAAAGAATAGAAACAAATAGGAAAATTCACTGTCAAAAACGTCCTAGTGCCTAAGACAGGGGGACGCTGCCACATTTGAACAAATCCGACAAACCGGAACAACCATCAGCAAACTTTTCGAGCTACCAAAGATACATAAAAATGAACCATCTCTTCGATCAATCTTAGACATGTGAAACTTTCCTTACCACGCCGCGGCTGGTTGCGATTCCGGGACCCGTGAGAGCAAAACTCAGGAATCACATACTAGAAGGATTCATATGATTTGGTGGCCAGGATCAGACTCAAACGTAAACGGATTACGCATGATATGACTCAACGTCAGTTCCTAATTTACAAAAGTTCGAATTGATGAAGCTACTGAATACATGCATGACTACATACAAAGCAATAACTTTGAAATTGGAGTGCATTTTGGTGATCTCAGACCATTACAAGTAACATACAATTCACATTCAATGACGAAGTTTATCGCCGAATAGTTGGGGGAACAATAGGAGGTCTCTTGGTTCACAGTTTGTATAAATTTTCATCGGTAGCTGGAGAATCTGTCCTAAATCTTGTAGGTACTTAACTCGGTACACCCAAACATTTTAGACAACGAAGCGAATGAACAGATGTTTTGTCTAGATATTCAACTAGGTCGTAGAACGGACAAAACAATTCAGCGCACTATTCGCAGGAAACCATCGTGGAGCGATCAGTTTATCCCTTTCAAAAGCTGCCATTGGAACGGAGAATGGGCCTAATTTAATGCCTTGCTACTAGCGTGTTGAGATTATGTACGGACGCCACAACTGAGAGTGCATTGAGACTCATTCGAGAGGTTTTCCTTCATAACGGTTTTCCGGAACTATATATGGGTAACCTTTTGAGGAAACACCGGGTGCCAAACAATATTACCACTATTTCACTGTATCACTACCTTCCAAGAGTGTCATAACTACCAAAATTGTTACATGTAAACTCAGTACAGCAGTGGAATAAACACTTCTTGGTGTGCAACTTCGCATTTCGGTCATCTTCAGGCCACCATTGCTCTTACCACCCAAAGATTAATTACTTATTTCTCCAGTCCCTTCTGTGTGTACTTATGTGTATTCCTGTGGGCCTAGGTATATTGGTCGCACGAGCAGACGTTTATCTGAACGAGTCCGCGAGCACCATCCGGCTTGGTAGACTAGTGGGGTGATTAGGACTATCAGCAGTTCGATCGTTTCACACCTAGTGGAGTCATACCACGTATTTAATTAGGTAGAGGTGTTTCGACCCATTACGTGATTCGCTGTCGTCGATCTAAGAGAATTAGGAGTCACATCTTGGCCACAGCGGAAGCGATCGGAATCCGCCAACATATCCCCCCTATGCTTACAAAGCATTTGGAAAAACACTCGGCCTTCTATGACCAATACCATACACGGCAAAGACATACTCCCACCCACCCCTAATCACCGGAATCAATCGGCATTTTTGTTGACCAATGAGTGAGCAATATACAGTCATGGAACGGTGACTAACGTTCCATTGGAAAGTTTAAAGGGATTGCTTACTAATTCATCTTATAGGGTAGTAAACGATGTTGGCATCGCTGAGCCTGTAGATTGTCGCTTAATCTAGGGCACATTTAGCCTCTGACTTCTATCAGTTTAACAGTTCTTACTTGTCCCCTGCAGAAACCCGAGAGATGCACCAGGATTCACATTCCAGTAAACCGTAAACAGATAGGCTAAACCAAATTGAGGGTAGCCGAGACCCAGAGGACAATAACGAAACTCCGGAGAACATTAAAGATAGCTGTTGTTCAGCGAATGACAGAAATCCAACACCTCATTGAAATATTAAAGAGTATGACCCTAAAAGTAAGCGAGATGCATAGATTTCCGGGTTTTGCTATCGAGTCATATAGCAATACGCTGCTACTTTACGTTTCATGTAACGGCTAGAGGTGCTGGCTGATACTGGGAATGCCTGCATTACGAAAGCCCTCAAAGCTCCATTGGGTTATCTTGTGTTTCTCATGGATGAAGTCGGGACAAATGGAAGTTGAACATTTTAAATCAACCAGAGCATGTTTTATTGCCGGAAAGTAAGTGACTCTACAAGGATATTTTGAAACTTTTGACATTTATTTTTTTTGCAAAACGTTGAAGTGTGGAAAACGGAGAAATGTAATATTTAGAGTTTGTTCGTATTTACCAAGGGAATTTAGTTAAACTTGACCTTAGATAAGGTGAGCCGACTCAATGGTACTGATATATATTCGTTTAGGAAGAAAAATAACGTACAAAGAATAATGGATTCGAACGGAATAGTAAGCGTTATGTGATCGAGGCAAAACGATAAATAACTCTTATTTGGTGAACCAGTTCTGCATGCAGGCAAACTGAGACACTAAGTATAAAGAGAAAATACAACTAAACAATCTTTAAAAAAACACTGTTACGAATAAAGCGTGTTTTTGGGGTTAATGCATTTATATATAGGGTTCAAAATTGTCAAACTAGTGTAATGGTCTGATGTGATCAATATAATTAGTTGATAGTGAAAGGTATCGTTTTTGTTTTCATGTACATCGACGTATTCAAAGTAATGTACAAACTACCTGCAAACCTATCCAAAGCAGTTCGTCACCGGTGGCTATTCGCCTATTCAATACATCTCTTTGTTCTCAAAAGCGATTCGTTCAGTCACTTCGAGTACCGTGGCCCTAACCTGACACAACCGATTAAGACGACCGTGCCCTTTAGCACAACCCACGAGTGCAGACCGAAAATAGTACAGCTCACTCAATCCATCAACGGCGAACATTTCCCAATTATATATAGAAAGTTCTGCCTAATCATTTCCAAACCATTTTACAAGCTCACTGCCAATCAATCATATTAGTGGCATCACAACATTACACAAATTTGACAATTTGCAACCCTATACATAAGTGCATTAACTCAAAAAATAAGTAATCAAAAACAAGCTTTTTTCGATACAGCGTTCTCAGGATGGGAATACTTTACCAGTTTCTTTCTCTGTCACAAATAAAAGGTGGTTAGCATCAAATATCCGATATCCAGGAAAAAAAAACAATTACTTACACTGACATCATCAGACCAAAGCGAACAGTTAACTCGGCCCTGTTGGTCAGATTGTCTCTTGATGCTTACTTGTAATGGCAGAACACACACGATTAGAAATCCCTTGTCCTAGGCCACCATTGTGTGCATAAATTGGGTGACTGTGATCTAGGCACTCAGGTTAACATGACAGCAACCCGGAGTTTTCCGTTTTAGTACCAGCCGGCTTCTGATAAGCCGCAGGCACATTACGGATATTCGGTTTGATGAAACTGTATGCTCATAAATTGGTGCGGTGGGATTGAATTTTTATGACCAATTTTTGATTGATTTCCCCTCGCTGCTTTACATCCATGCGATGTCGATAAAATCTTAGAAATAAATCATCCTAAAGTTTGTTGCTGGTGACTCAATAATTTATGCTAGTGACATTTTTGATAAGGTGGATCAGAACAACCATCACGTATTCCAAATACTCACGATTCGAGCACCTTCTTTCCGGCCTTCTTCAATTCCGGATCACCCAAAAGGACACGTAGAAACGTCTCAGGCGTAACCTCCTGCATGAATAAACGCAGATAAAAAAATAATAGAGAGACGCATTAGTTTCAAAGATCATTAGGTGAATCTTCAGACGACTTTGATCATGGTGTTTTTGTTATCACCGTGAAAGACAAGGAGAAGGTGAGAAGGAATCCGTAGGTGTTTAGAAATGGTCGAGACATTGCTGTAAGGAAGATCATACATCGCTGTGATTAGACTAGATGTACTGGGTATTTGGCGAATTTGAGCAACAATAACAACATTTTGCCTATAGTCTGCTATATTTTGTTGGAATTCCGATGTTCTACTATATCCTTTATATTATTAGGATTTTATCAAAGAAATAATAAAAATATGATCCAGATGTGTGCTCTTAAAAATAGAATAACCTGGAGAAAAAATAATGTAAAACATGAATGTAGAATAAAATTTAAATATGAGAAAATGTGTAAACAAAATCTATTTAAACAAGGGAAATAATTATAAAAAAGAGCGATGGATATTGTCATTTTATTCTACACACTTTGCATAGAAGCCCAGAAGGGAATAAACTGTTTGCAACATAAAGCTGAGTCGTAAAATATTCCCATTGACGCATAAGAACAATGTGACACCTTCTATCCTCTCCCTCCCGTTTCCCCCACTCCTCATTCACTGTCTTTTTCGCAAACGTTCACACCTGTTTTATTCACTCTAACACATTTCATATCCTCTCTAGTTCACACATTTTTCACTCCACTTTTCCCTATCCAATTGTCGTGATCCAACACCTTCTTGTTAACAGATAACTTTGCACACATACATTCAATCAACACCAGCCTAGGCCTTGTATTATTCTACTGACTAATCGAACTATATATGTAAATGCCTGAAGCGAGATATCGAAAAGAAATTTCTTCGAGTTTCGACTTTGTTCTTATAAAGCTGACTGTCGTCAGCAATGATTGATTACCTAAATCCATCGGTCTGATCAGGATCCTGGTGCCTGGAAAACAAGCTTCCACCCTGCCATGGAGCTCCTGAGCTAACACTCAGTTTAGTGGATGAATTTTTAATTTCTTCAAGTTGCTACTGCTGTCAAAAGGTACTACTCACATTTGTGAGTAGTAGTTAACATTGTTGGTGATTAATTTTGACGATCCAAAATTAAAAAGATCCTTGAGGGCAAATTTATGCGTCTCAAAAAAATATTTTTCGATTATTACTTTCATTACCCGTTTTGCGGCCAATATCTGTGATGGTATTCTTCTGATGAGATTTTGTGTTATGTAGGCCAAATTAGTGATGTCCCATCTGTAATCTTCAAGGGACAACTATCCTCGACCGAGCACAGCCTTGTGGAACTATAGCACTAAGTTGAAGGACATGTACGGAAGATTCTTGCTAGTATTGCTTTGGAGCACTAAGAATACTCTGAGTCCATGACCTGTCTCTTCATGCTGAAATCCCGGTATTATCAACATGCTAGAATCGAAAGCTCCAAGCTCGCTCACGAAGAAGAAATTTATTACAATTCCGAACCGATGTATCAAATTAAAGGGCAAGTGATCTGTGGTATATAGGGACGTTGTACTTTNCCGACTGATCATTCTTCACATGTTTCATTCACTGGCATTTCGTCGTTCAGACGAGGGTCAGCAAGTTGAGGTCCGTTATCTGGACTTTAGCAAAGCCTTGGACTTTGCATGTCATCAGAGGTTAGATCGTGAGATACAAACCGTGCATTTGATGGAAATATATGAGATGAGCTAATTGCTTCCTGGAAAACTGTCCCTCTAGGATCAATGCAGAAATGCATTTATCAGCCCCGGAAAACATGACCAGTGGCGTGTCTCAAGGCTCATTGCTAAGCTGACTTCTGTTCCTAACTTCTGTTCGTAATCGACTCACCACGGGAAATCAATAACCCATGCCACATGTTTGTGGACTTCCTCAATGTGATGGTAACGAATGTGTACCAGGATCTTCAGGCTGTTATCCAGTGTTCCGAATAGTGTGCGCCTCCTTTGAACCTATCCGCATGCCAGTCAATGACTGCAGGGCTTAGAAGTGTCATCAGAGCGAATTTGGTTTCAGGAGATATTGAAGCTAAGGATCTAGCAGTTATTATATCGCACGACTTGAAGCCCTCACGGCAATGCCAAAATGCAACAAACATCGCTCTTACAGAGGGCTTTCGGTTATTATCCACAATTGCGTACACGCAACTGGAGTTTCTCCATGGAGACTGTATGTATAAAGCCACACTTGTAATATTAAATTTAGGTATGGACACCCTAATTTCCGCGGGACACTGAATGTCTAGAACGCGTGTTACGTCTTTCAATGAGGATGATATCGGGGAAAAAAGACCGCAGTTATGAGCAGAGGCTCAAGGAACTTAATCTGTTTTCGCTAGGAAGAAGGAGAATCAAGGTGAACTCATTGAAGCAGCTAGGGCAATAAACGGTCACTTCGGGATCAAGTTTATTGATATATTCTAATTTATCCCCCAAGTGGCACTAGGAGGGAGAATATTTTAGGCTCTATAGCCTTTTAAGGCTGAACGAACGTACCAAGGTTTTTAAAGGTCCCTAAGTACCTGACTGGAACAGTCTACCTGAAGAGTTTGGCAGAAGTTCAATTTTCGTAGCGGTTAAGCGGACCTTAGAGGTTTTTTGGGCCGGCTTAATCCCTGAAATAATTCAAAAGTACTTATCTGTTAGTAATGAGCTTCAGTGCCTAGGACATACTTCTGTACCTCAAATCTCATTTTTCAGGAAAACTAAACACTCAGTGTTGGAAGCCACAAGATCAGATGACGACACAACTACCAAGACGTACGATTTGCCCAGGGCACATGGTGTCCTGTGCAAGCTGAAATGAACTGAACGTTTCAGTCTATTCAGTATAACCTAGACACATGGGTGCATTTGTGCCAAATAAATACGCTAATTGTTATCAAACACTATATGGGAACACAATTAAATGTGTTTTACTGGTCAGGGACATTGTGAGCTGTCACATTGGCAACTTCTACCGCCCGTGCATGGGATACAGTATTCAAACCCTAAATGCGACGACCAATGCACAGTACTTGTGCATTCTGACATAGGCGTACGTTTATTTTGGTACTTCCTGATTGCATGGTCTAAAAGATGAACTGAGGACTGTGTGAGGCCTAAGTCGAACATTTGATCAGTAAAAATGACTTTCTGAGTAGTAATGTCTATTAGACACTCATAATCAGAAATTCCTAGGCTGAACGAGTCAAATATATTGGAAGCCATTGAAAAGGCACTAAGTCTCGTCTAAGCATCCCATGATAGTATACAGGATTTAACGATACAAGGGTTACTTTAATGCATTTTTTATACGTGCATCATACTACTAATGATAAGTAGGTAAATTTTTAAATAAAACATTTGTTTTGTACAGAAGAAGTTACACTGAATTGAATCTACGAAGAACTGATCCACGCATTTCTCTTAAACCAGCCTCCACATGAACTGTTACGTGAAACCTCCCGTGAATACATGCAAATGGGTATTTTACTTGAATGAATATCCATAAATGCGGCGTATTTGGAAGGAAAGTTCTGAAACTCAACCCAATTCAGCGAACGCTTGCTTGGTCGTTCAAGGTGAAATGTAGCTTAGCAAGCCAAACTGAACGTCAAGGATACACGGGAGGTTCTGAGATAAGGAAACACTCAGGTAAGCACCGGCCTCTTCATTTTATTTTCCAATGGGCCAAGGATGAAGGTGGTTTGGAGGACAGAAATAGGAACCGCATCCTAATTTGCAATTTTATGGCAAATCACGGCCAATACAAGGTATGCCGCTGGCTTGTTCGAGAAAAAATGCCACTGAAGTTTGATTATCCGCCTTGTCAAAAGAGGGAGTGATTGATTTTACTAACAGTTCCATCGCGAGTAAAAAAAATTGGTGGTGGAAAATAACAGCAATGGACTCGCAGGTCAAGGATTGTCGTTTGGAGGTCTCATGTTGCAAGTAGGAGAAAACAGAGGTAAAAAGAACATAAACCTGCGCTGTTCCACATATGTAACTCCTCGAAGATGGACCAATCTGAATTCAGTCACGGTGCCATTTTTTTCTATGAGGTACGAATGCATTGATTGCAACAAATCCAAGGCATTATATACTGCAAGTGTCCTCATTCTTGAATCATGTGTTATACTTTATCACTTACAATATTTACTCATACTGGATAACATGAGAATAATGTACGTGTATGTTCCTAATTTGGAACGAATATACAAACAACAGTCAAGTTTGTACGACCGGTGTATATATATATATATTGTATAAAGTAGGAACGCGTGAAATTTGAAATCCAAAATGAGTGATAGAATTGGGTGACTTACATCGCGACGATAATCAACCTGGACACCCCGGTATACATCTCTGTGCTTGTAATCGTTAAACAGCTGTCCAGGATAACAGTTACTATGATAACGAGAAGAGAAAATGCGTGTCCAGTCATATAATAGCGTTATGGTGTATTCATAAATTTATTATTGGTCACAACATATAATAACTTGGTGTATTACTTTCTACATACGAACAGCTCTTCCTACAGAGGATTGGTTAAATATGCAACCACAAAGAAATTTACTGGGACTAATAGATAAACTTCTAGCACATCCAGACACATCTTAAAAATGGTGCGCATAAAATTATTGTCACCTTCCATTTTTATTCAAAAGCTTATCATAATGAACTCAGATTTCGTAAAGCTTTGTAAACATTTAATGGAACATCCAGATAATTTTCAGTGTTCCCATTAATTTACCGAAATGCATTTTTGATGCTTGTCACAAAACAGAGATTTATGGCCTAGCTAGTTGTAGCACAAGACATAAAAGTAGCGTTTTCTGTCTTTATGTATGGAAGCATTTCTCGCAAATGCACTTAAATTTAAAAAAAAACAATTAAGAGCAATCTACAGTTGTGCTTTTGGTTCAGGGTATGTGATCCCATACAACCAGCTGAATAGGGTTCTGATTTTACACAAATTCATCACACTGTTCATTATTTAAGCAATGTGAACTGTTTTATGATGCTGTAATGTCACCGTGCATGCTGGTCTTCTACTTAAATACCCCTTTCCCCAATTCGAGTCCGCCTTTGAGTTTTAATTACTTGCCGCTTATAGATAAGCAAAGGTGCAGAGGCAAATCTCGGTAGACGATCTATTGTCTGCTTCTAGCAGACGACTGTTCGTTAATTTTTGTTCCATTCGCTGTTTGGATGTTTGGATATTTGGAGTTATTTTATTACCGTTTAGTGTGCAATAACCACTGGCTTTGATGGTGAGCTGGCGCACTTGTACGATTTCATAGAATGAAGTTATGCCAAGAATTCAATGTTCTTATCTTAATACTGTGCAACCCGTTTTGAGCTTCATCGTTGGGCCGTTACAATACGCTCTCAAATTGAAACACTGGATGGAATCAACTTGACGTAAATTGAGAATCAACTTCATGAATGGAGCAAGCTCGATGTGCACGAATATATTGGATGCTTCTGATGGGAATTCAATGCGACAAGTTCATGTCAAAATTACGGAATTCCATTTTTGTACTCATTGCTGTTTGATGTGAGAACCTAGTAAAATTTAGGCACTAAGCAAAAGCTGACGAAGTATTGAAAATCGGTTTTCTTAGCACGGGTGAACTGAAATGTTTGCAAAAAATTGCAAAGCTAAGCGAACAGACAAAAAGACAAAGTAAGGACCTTCGTGCGGTCTCACAATGCCGAAATGACGGAACTCTATTGTGGGATCACAAATACACCCATTGTTCTGTCAGAGGAGTCTAGAAGTCTATTGCTGTTACTAGTTTCTGAACCCATATCTATTGAAGCGGTTTCCTTTTACGCGAACTCAAATGAAGAGGCTTCTGGAAATATTTAGTTGGGAGTCGTCCAAGGTGCGCGCATAAGATGTTCATACTGATATCATATCCACACATTTCGATATTCGATAGCCGTATATCGTTTGTCATGGTGTTTACATTGAGATTTGTGTGCGACCACACCCTCTGGTTCATCACGTTTCCTATTGAAAATTGGCTGTCCTATGAGTGAGCACCATTCGATAAACCTCGTATCATTCTGTGTTACAAACATTTACAGCCGGAGGAAATCCCATTAATCAAACTTATTTTATTTTATCACTATAAAGAAAATGGATTGATGTTCGATCCAAAACACTCTTACCACGAGCTACAGACTCCACCGCTACCACCTTTAGCTTTTTGTCAGATATCGCATGTCTGTCTCAAATGAAGCATATTCCACAAAGGAAACTCAGCGAATTACAAAAGATTAAATTCACACTCAAAAACGATACTTAGGGCCTAGTGATTGTATTGAATGCACTTATCCAAGCATCACTCACGAGACTAGTTGACACTATTCGTGAGGATTTGCAGCTAATATTTTCCAGACACCCATATGGCCGTAGCAAAACAGAGCTTTCATGTACCAAATTTTGTTTTGCCCGTATCCTGATGAAAGTCGGCACGTGATGAGAAAAAATGTAACCTGGTAATTTTATTTACTTACTGTGGATTACGGGCCACATCATCGTACATCATAGTAATGATGTTGCTCGGTGGAATTTTATTTCTCAACAAAAGTTGGTAGGCGTGACAAACATCAGCCTAAAATAGAGGGGAGGGGTGTGGGGAAAATGGAAAATGGTTGTTAACAAAATACGAGCAGTCAGCGTATACACTCTAGCCGATTATCGCTCTACTCAATACTGTTAACATTGATTTAACTGGCAGCAGATTCCCCAAAAGTAACCGAATCCAACATATGACAAAACGGCTTCGTAATGGAATGGTCAAAACAGGAGCGCCCACTCGGTTGACCTGATTGCGTCTTTCGAATCAATGGACACAATAAAATGAAGTCGTGAGCTGCATACCATCCATCGTGGTGCAACCGTGATTCCACCTCTGGATGCTCAAAGCATTACTTGTTAAAGCCATCATTATGACATAATCATCCGTCACCAACATGCTAACATACTAAGCATGTCCATATCAATTGGCAAAACACAATCAGGAATTCAGTAATTGATTGAGTGCAAATCATATCATACGGATAACAAAAGCACGAGTAGTTGTCTTCAGCCTGACACCAGATGAATGATGTGTCCGGGGGAACAATATCAAATGGCGGGGTCTCAAGCGCGTTTGTATTCACAGATTCGACACTAAGATGAAATACTGTCCTACTGCGGCTGTTTAAAATACCACTGAGCTCTGCTTTTCCCTCTGGAAATTTTAATTCTCTTTCTAATTCCGCGCATAACCACACCGAGAGTGTATTCATCGATTTAAGGGGCTGCAAAACCAAACCTGTTACAGGCCGTAAAGCTGTCATCAGAACGCGCTCCTTAACCTTATAAGCGCTCCATAATTAATTTACATTCCCCTTTCTCTCACCCTTGAAAATGTTTACTGTTCTCAACATTCTCTCCCGACGGTATACATCAAAGAGTATCAATGGTTTTTTGCTTAAACAAAGTTTTGTATTTCCTGCCATTGAGAATGACGCCGTAATACTCGATATCTGTGGATGTCCCTCAAAATGATTATTATGAAATCAAGTCCACACAGAACGGCAAGGGTGGTTCGGTTAAAGGGTAGTGGTGGGGCAATGGTTTAGTCACTGACAACGGTGTGTTTTGGACCGGATGGCTCGAGGATCGAGCCCCAACACCGCCACCTAGCTTTGGTGGTAGACAGTTTTGCTGTCATCGGATTCTGTCGCCACTATCTTGAAGTCTGAATGCGAGAGAAAGATTAGTGAGGATGTTTTCAATGAGTTTCTATCAAGCTGCTCCATGGTAACCAGCACTGAGCAACCGAGTGTTCCAGCTGACTGTATTTATTTCACAATGCTCCCGTTTATCTGAGAGCTACTTCTGCGAAATTCCAATGGATAAGCTTTTTAAGTTCTTTGATTCGCCTATCATTTAGCATGTTAAAAACTGCTTCACTGAAAACACTGAAGCCACACGAGATGTGCCAAATGCTTGATGATGCAAACACATCGCTCAAACCTTCTCCAATCAATATATGGTGCGGTATTTGTTAACACGACTACGGTGAACTGCGCAGCATAAGATCACACCCCGTTTCTTAATAAAGCTTCCAACATCAACTTTTGTAGGAAATAAAATATTCCGATAAGATTTGATTTGACCCTTCTACAGGGTCATGACTAAAGTTTGTTCGTCGATACCTAGGGACTACGGGTCATGGCTAAAGCACTGCCGGTTTTGGCTAAATGATTGTGGGTCAAGGATAAAGGATCAAGTGCCGAGTCTAAAGGGTGGCCGGTTTTAGCTAAACCTTGATTGGTGAAGTTGTAGATAGGTATTTTTATTTTATAATATTTCATGGTCTGTATCTGTTGAATTTTCGCATTTTTCTTTTCAGCTTACAGACCACGAGGCCTGGGGGAGTTGCTCTACGAGGCATATGAACAAAATCACTGAGAAATGCCTATTTTCAAATCTCACCAAATCATCTTTTTATTCCAAAACGTCCATTGAAAGTGAATGAGACGATACATTTTCCAATGATTTTAGTGAGAACGTTTGTCCACTGGTGAAGTAGGGTTCACTTGTCACGTATTAAAGTAAAAGTAAAGCTCAGATTCAAGCGATTTTAGGTACTTGAACCTCTTGTTTGAACTTTAGGTACAACGGAGACTTCCTTAAGTATTTCAGAGATGTTAATCGGGTTGAATTACCAATGAAGACAGTAATTGTGCGTACCGCCTACTAAGTATTCTTGCTTGACATTTTTATGCATCAATTGCCAACATCAGAACTTTTCTGACCCTCTAATTACGAGCAATACTTGAAAGAGATCCCATCAACTAGTTAGTGCGTGAAGAAGCCAATCACCATTAGCGATATACAGGCGAGCGTAAATGGTGTAAGCTACATTCTTTCTTACCTGATGACGATAATTTTCCCAACCGCTTGATCCGGCAACAAGAACAGCCCAGTGGATGGGCCCGTTTGCCTGATTCCCAAGCACCTGAGTACACACCAGGCTACAAAGCAGCAGGCTGAATAGCATAGTTACCGGATGTTCGACTGATGCCACAAGTTGGTCCAGTCATGCCTATTTAAAGCGAATGGTTTCCAAAAATAATCTCCTGGTTTGACCAGTGGATGAAGTCCGAGGTTCATTTGCAATTTTTTTTAATTCTCGCTCAGTCCACCCACACGAGACGGCTGTGATTCTGCGCTCACTGTCGAAATGAAACCAAACCCAGAACTAATGAATATTCGCATCCGAAGATGACCTTTGAATAGCATAATGATCCGGGCACATCAATGCATCAGACATTCAATGGTTTTTGTTGATTTTTTTATAGTGAATAATCAGTTGTACGTATGTACAATCATGCAGATGCTAACTAATCCTACATGTCGAGTTTCGATCGCAAAAGCAACTCAGTTAATAGTACATTGTGGATAGATTACTCGCAAAGTTTAATGGTTGCGGACTTCGTGGTTGAATGGGTGGAACCAGGTCTGGATAAACATGCGTAGCTAGCCCTCCTCGTTTGCGGAGGCTCCAGTGCAATGATGGTCAGCCGCATTGGACTGGTTTAGGCAACGTTACGAAATCAAAGTCGCAGTTATCATAGAGTACACTTACGCATTGACATTGCTCTTGTTCATCAGATAAATCATTGATTTTAATGTCTTTCCTTTGCGCTGGTCGTCGGGTAGTAGTGATTAACATTACTGAGCTTCACAGTATTTGGTATTGAGTATACTTTCATTCAGTAGCACTAAGTGAAAGGTGTCCATTGTGATACAACAGTCAACCAGTATAGGTGTTAAAATCTTGTCTTTTGTCATACGGACAGTCAAGTTCTATTCATCAGTGGCTCTATTTAAGTGCGGTTGAGTATACGCTGTTAGAATGTTTTGTGACATTTTGTATTACGCACCTAAGTGTGATGAACAACAGACGAAGAAAAGCCCATAGTCTCAAGGACCGAGAACCTAAGCCCCGGGACTTGGAGTAGCGAACCACACTAGGCCCTAATAGGTTAGGCGTGATTTCGAACCGGACGGCAGCAGAGCTGCATACCACCAAAGTCGGGTGGCGGTGGCGGTGTCGGAGCTCGAACCTCGGACCATAGGTTCCAAAGCAAGTGGATGACAGCGACTAAACCACTGTGTCACTACCACATCAGTAATTCAAACCAATTAAATCAACGGGAAATAAACTGATTTGATTTATATCTGGAGAAGACACTCTAGTCCAATTGCTCAAACATATACCGTCTTGGTGATCAAAAATTTCCGGAGGTGGACAGTGGAGAATAAATGGTGAGACCTGACATTTTGATATATTTTATTTATTGTCATTTTCAAGAACCCGATAGCCCAACCCATTCAGTGTGAAAATTTCACGAATATGACTCTTTTGTATCATCCTAGTAAACGATTATCACAGCATTCCGATCAAATTCTCAAAGAAAAATCACTTCTTTGACAGTTTTTGATGTACGAGTTACTATTTCTCCCGATCATCCGGTGACCTAAGATTTGAGATAACAACTACTTTTTTATATCAGCCATCATTTGAGGTCCATCGATAATTTTCTACTGTGATGATCACCACGTCTTTCCTATCGGGGCCTTATTTGGATTGTAACTCCAAGTTTTAGGGTTAGGGGTAGCAATTCACTCAAAACCCATTTACCATGAACCGGCCCAGTACACAGTTGAATAATGCATAAAATAACTCGCGCTCTAAGATTCCCTTAAACATCATTCACTTTCTTAAATGAAATAATGGTTTTGAGCTCCATTCAACAATCTGGCTTCATTTTCCAAAGTGTTCTCGTTCTATCTGGGACCGAATGTTTTTTAACAGGTTGGATCTTGAGTACATTTTTATTTTAAATTCCAGAATATGCCCATTTTGATATGAGAACACATTCAGAGGCGAACAGTTGTTTTCATTGATTCATCTTCTAACCTGTACAGGTCAAATAAGGAAATGGTATGTTGAAGGGGATTGTGATTTAGTCATTCAAAAGTCATGGTGATTGATTGAAAGGTAGAGGAATGGGGTGTGTGCGGCATGTTTCAAACCGCTAGATCACCACAACACTGCAATCAAACTGTGATACGTCATCCGTGCGATCTATCTTCGGTCACGGCAGTTGAATGGTATGGGCCAATCTCTTTTGTGTACATAGATTGGGTTTGACCTTTCTGTTTGTTCACTTTAAAACTTAACCGCCATCTCTGTTCAAAGCTGTCGTACGTGCGTCCGGTGACCACTGAGCATCGATTTTTTGTCTGCCTGTCGGATGATTCCAATCGGGAATTTCACTAGTTTTGTTTGTATCACTCGCGTAAATAGACATAAGAAGTAGTACATCGAATATGCATACCATATGTTTTTAAGTTATTTAATTGTCTTCCAGAATACTCGGACTGGCTCCCGTGTTTTATTTCAAGTCAGCATTGCTTGATAGACCGGTCATTCAACCCTTATGCTCAACGTTGGCGAGTATCACATGAGGAGCGATGAGTTCATTAATTCACATCGTTTAACCTGCCCAATGCGCGTGGGCAGGCGTTTTCGAATTTGCTTGGATTAGTCAACAGAAAAGTTGCAAAGGATTAGAGAGTAAATCATCGGTGTAACCCATTACTGTCACACACAGACCAAAATCAACATCGTTCATTCAATTTATTACAAATGATCAGTCATCTATGCGTGCCCGGATGCACGAGGCCGGACTACCTATAGATCACTTTGAGAAACTAGAAATCCGGCTCAGCTCACACGCTAAATTTTCCCTATCTGTTCTTTTGACATTCATGATTTGGCAGGTTATATTGTATAAGGTAATTCGTCAGCTGTACAGCTGTACGCAATTCGGTCAGACTTTGATAGACACATTTGAACATGGTCAAGTCGGATATGTAGTACGGGCTGCGTCAAAATCATGCACGGTATTTCGAAATCCATTACTTGATCTTGGAGCCTGAAAGTTATTCCGTTTGTTTCACTGTGCTGATTTTATCGCGTTGCATGATGCACAAATCAGTTCACGTTCAATCTATGAACAGTCTGTATTTTGAACCAAATGAGCGTGATAAAGTTTCAAAGACAAATATGTAAAATGTACTTTTAACCCACAAAATGTCTAGATAATGGTGACATGGTACTTGGTGGGCTACTTGCGAGCAAGTGCAAAAATTGTGCTACTGAAATTGTCTCATCACGGAAGTGTGAGATTGGATGAAACAATTTATTTCCTCCTTATCGCGTTACCTGTTTATTTATCTTCAGTGCTTTTGTTCAAGCTGTGGTTTCTGGTAAAGCAAATGCACGTTCAAGATTATTTGAGTTGATAATATCAGGCATTCTATTCCCGAAATTCTCAGTTAAAAATAAACCTGAATTTGAAGTCACTATAAGCATCTTCTTGATGATGCAGCTTTCTTTCTTGCATTCGTTTGTTTTTGTAATTGTAACATCACAAAGGTGAATGACAGATAACTTGCATGTTTCCAACCCATTGATTTTGCCAATGTTTCTATTCTCTGGAAACGCAAAATACCCTTTAAAATCTGTTTCTGTTAACAAGAACTTCACACATTTGCTTGAAATGAATTAAGAAAGGTGTAAACAGCAATTCACAGTATATGATATCAGAAGACACTCCTAAGGTGACCTGCGAATAGGAGCGACAATACGAGAAAATTAATCTCAAGTGATATTCATACACTTCATCACACATTTCACACGTTTCAATA